TGGGGCCGTATCTCCAGCTCTGACGATGCCGCAGATGTTCAGCTTGAGGAGCCTCTGACTGGCTCGCATTTAACTGTTTTATACGCTCCATGAAGGAGCAATGTTCTCTTACTGAAATTCCTTACTGACATTTCTTTACTTTATTGTCCTAGTGCTGAATAAATTCAGCTCTGGAAAAAATTAAGAGACCACTCCGTTTTTTATCTGCATTTTCAAATCCTGGTTTAATCCTGGTTCTGCTGGCAGAAGGCTACACAACAAATTTCCAGGCTCAATTTTTTTTAAATGGCAGTACACAAGAACAATGTGAAACTGGAGACACTGGAAATGGTCAAAAGCCAGCCAGGTAGAGGATAGAAGCGACTTTCTGATGGCAGACATGACCATCAATTTATCCAACAGTTTCTCATGAATCAGAGGATGACATCAACTGACCTTCAAAAGGAATGGGGAAATTTAAGTGGTGAGAAGTGCACTGCAAGGTCAGTTCGTATCAGACTCCTTGAAGCAGGACTGAAGTCCCATAAAGCAAAGATGAAACCCTTTATTAATGAGAAACAGAGAAGAACCAGGCTGCAGTTTGGAAAAAAAAATGTAATATTCATGCGCACACACACTCACACACACACACACCCATAAATAGAGAAATAAGTGAAGCAAAATATTGTGCCGTGTTTTCAGTTTTTTCTAGAGCAGTATGTTCACTGCAGTTTTAAAAACTGCAAAAAAAAAAGGCAGACAGATGCGGGATTCAATGGAGTCAATGCACCTTCACACATATATTCACTCACATGTTCACTGACACACAACACCACAATCAGGCAAATTGGCCAACAGAAACAAGGTCCTTCAAGACAGCTGCTGTGAAATAAACAGATTCAGCAGCAATGAAATCACAAAATTAAATTCAGCTTCCTGTTAGTGTCTATCTGCAGAATATTATCCTTCTTTAATCTGGGTGACTGAGTTCAATACATGCCTAACAATTAATAAGTTAAACTGAAATAAATAAAGAGGATAATTTGACTGCATGATGGTGTGCTAGTTAGCACTGTTGCTTCAGAACTCTGAGACCAGGGTTCGAATCACTGCCTGGGTTCCAGGAGGGTGTAGTGTGCATGTTCTCCCTGTGTTGTTGTTGTGGGGTTTCCTCTGGGTGCTCTGGTCCCATGCCACAGTCCAAAAACATGCTGAGGCTAATCAGAGCTACCAAATTCCCCATAGGTGTGCGTGTGTGAGTGTGTGGTGTGTGAGTGTGTGGTGTGTGAGTGTGCCCTGCGATGGGTTGGTGCCCCATCCTGGGTGTGTGAGTGTGCCCTGCGATGGGTTGGTGCCCCATCCTGGGTGTGTGAGTGTGTGGTGTGTGAGTGTGCCCTGTGATGGGTTGGTGCCCCATCCTGGGTGTGTGAGTGTGCCCTGCGATGGGTTGGTGCCCCATCCTGGGTGTGTGAGTGTGAGCTGTGATGGGTTGGTGCCCCATCCTGGGTGTGTGAGTGAGCCCGGTGATGGGTTGGTGCCCCATCCTGGGTGTGTGAGTGTACCCTGTGATGGGATGGTGCCCCATCCTGGGTGTGTGAGTGTGAGCTGTGATGGGTTGGTGCCCCATCCCGGGTGTGTGAGTGTGCCCTGTGATGGGTTGGCGCCCCATCTTGGGTTGTTTCCTGCCTCGCACATGTAATCTCTGGGATTGGATCTGGACCATCACCCTGTAGAGGACAAGCTGTTTCAGAAAATGGATGGATAATTTATGTGGTATTGTAGGGGGACATTGTAGACTCACCCCACTGGGTTCAGTTGCATGTGTATGTGCCATGTTATGGACTGGTATCCTCTCCAGGGTGTATCCCAGCCATGGGGCTCCAGCCTCAAACCCTGAGCAGGGGAGAGTCTCTGCAAAGGTTTGTGTGCTGCATTACATCAGCTGATCATTGATTAATACCCTGATGCACTTTTAAGGTTCCTTAAATAAATGTGCCTGTGAATTTGACAGGTTTTCCACCTTCGTCCCCGCAGGGGCTGTCCAGCCAGCCTCCTTGCAAACGCCGTACCCTCAGTCTGAGATGACGACACTGTGGCTCTGCGATGGGGGGGGGGGGGGGCAGTCAGGGCCGACCATCATTCAGAGGAGGAGGGGAGCAAGGACCAAGAAAGCAGAGGCTGCCTTCGTTACCAAGAAACAAGAATGCAATTCCAGTGGAAAGTGTGATTCCAGCCGCTCCTAGCAAAACAGGCGATGAAAGAGATGAGAGGCGAGTGAAAAGGGGAAGAGAGACATCAGGACCTAAAAACAGCAGAGACACAGCGGCTGAAGCGCCTTAGGATAAGTGACTGACCCACATCTGCCCAGGATCACTTTGTGGAGGTAATTAGCAGGACAGTTAGCTGGACCCCAGGGGTTTAAAGTGTGATTCAGGCCTGAAATAAAACTGCAGAGCTGGTGGCTTCAAGCTAAGTCCCACCATCCCTCAACCGTGGTGTGTGTAACAGATATTAGCTGGATATCCTGATTTTCCCAGACTTCAACGCATCACCAGGTCAACAGGAGAGGGGCTTGTCTTTCACCTCTTTAGCCAATCACCAATTGCATGACATCACCACATTGCTCAAGCTTCCAGCCATCCAGATGGGAGTAATGTGTGTGTCAGTGGGTGAAACCTCTGTCTTTGTGGTCTGAAGGTTGCTGGTTCCAGCCTTTCCTCAGCAGACTAACCATGAGTCCTTAAGCCCAGCTTATTATTATTAGCATGAAATACAGATGTTCCCTTACATTGCTCCATACTGCCTTTGCAGGTAAGCATGTGCTTGGCCTGCACAATAACACAGGTACTTCACAAATCTGTGTACCTTGCTGCTTAACAGATAACACTGGTTACAATGTGGTGATGTCATACAATGAAGGTCATGATTGGTTAGAGAAAAGAGAATGCAAGCTCTTCCCTTATTGACTGCATTTAGGAAAATCAGAATGTGCGACACTAGCTACCCCCCCCCCCCCCCCACACACACACACACACACACACATACCTGAAGGTTTGTCAGGGTCACCAGTGCACACACTCCTTCCTTCTCGGTCACACACATTCTCTCTTTCTCACAAATACACTCACTCTTTCTCTCTCACCTTTCCTTCTTCTCTCTCTCTGTCTCTGAGGGCAGTAAGTAACCTGTCTCACGCACTGTCAGCAGTGATCCATTGTTACACATTTGTATTTATGATTTGCTTGTAACATTGTTTTGCTTCTGTTTATGTGTCTTGCAGACCCTTCTGGAGAAACATGGTGAAAGCTTGAGCTCCCAGCGGAGAGCTTCACGACCTGCACAACATGCAAATGAGCCAGAGACCCGCCCCCTCATTTCTTATTGGCTATGACTCACACCAGAGATAAAAATAGCACAGAAAGGGGTCTGAATGGCCAGGTGTCGTCATTCAGCTTCAGAGTTACGTTTCTAGGTGTGCTCCTTTAAACATATTGCTCACAAGTGACACACTTGCTGTGCTGTCCTCTGTCACCTCAGGACTGTGACTGTGAGGAAGACAAGGAACAGCATCTTCCTTCTACTGAGGGAAACGTGTGCTAAACATTCAGCAGAAATGCCACATTTTTACTGATAGCCCTGCTGAAGAAGCTGCTTAATCTGTCTAACGTGAACTTTTGTCAGAATGTCTTCACTGAGACCTTGACTGAGTCAGGGTCACTGAGACCTTGACTGCAGTTTGGAGCATAATCCTCCTGAGGGGGCATTTCTGGCTACACATTAGTGGCTGAGTCAGGGTGACTGAGACTGACTGGGGTCCACCTGGGGGCCCACCTTCCTTAACGGGGGGCTGATGTGCAGTCACCGTACGCCACAGCCACCAGAAGTGTGACTGTCACCATGATTTCTGAATGATTTCTCTATTTCTGCTGCAGGGGTTCTGGGTAACAAAATATGAAGCTCATCTGGCATCCATTTGCAGGTTTTCCTATATTGCCACACCTTTCTCTGGCCTCTACAGAGTTTCAACACAATTTTGAAGTTAGGAGAAAGAACCCTTAGACAAAACAAATATTAAATAGGGAGATGTCATACTTTTTATTATGTATTATTAGGCTATTAGCTATAACTAATAACACAAACATGCCATAATGTGACCCCAAATGCTATTTATAACCATTTACCCTACCTACAGTGGGACTGGGAGTGCCTGCAGTGGTACCGGCCTCCAGTGGGAGTGGGACCACCCTGCAGTGGGAGTGGCCTGCAGTAAGAGTGGGAATGGCTTACAGTGGGAGTAGCGGTGCCTGCAGTGGGACTGGCCTGCAATAGGAGTGGGATGAGCCTGGAGTGGGAATGACTTGAAGTGAGAGTAGGACCTGCCTGCGGTGGGAGTGGAAGTGGCCTGCAGTGGGTGCGGGACCAGCCTGCAGTGTGTATTGCCTGCAGTGGGAGTGGGACCAGCCTGCAGTAGGAGCGGGACCAGCCTGCAGTGGATATGGCCTGCACTCAGAGTGGGACCGGCCTGCAGTGGAAGCTTTATGAGCTGCCCTGAGGTGCTGACATCACCATGATAGATGTTCTTTTGCCTGTCTAGCCTGCAGGAGGTGTCCTTGACCATTGTGCCTCTGCTGTGCTCTGCGAAGGACCTCAAGCTGTTTAGTATCTAACCGACAAATGACAATCCCTGCTGACAATCCTCCAGGGGAGATTACCCAGTGCATGTATTAGAGGTCATTTCTTTCCACTGAGCTGCAGACATGTAAATAAATGTGCCTCCAACTCGTGTGTGAAATACACAATCAGTGTCAGGATAGGTTCACGTCAGTTCCACAGCACGACGTGAATAAAACAGTTATGGTTTATTCTTTGGGGCAGTTCCACCCGCTTCTGGATAAAAGAATCTGGTTACTGGGCTGGACCGAACAGGGTTACTGCTTAGCAGATAGGAGGCTGATGGGGGGGAGGGGGGCTGATGACGCTCCCTGACGAGTCCTTCACACTTTCCCTTCTCACTATGGCGACCGCGTCGCTTCCCTTTTATGTCGGTGGGGAAGCGGAAAGCAGGAAGCAGCTGCAGAAAGAGACAGGCGCGTTTCCCCCTAAAGCCACGCCTGCTCGGGGCTGATCGCATTGCAAACCCGGCCGCTTGCCATTTTCGCAGCCTGGGACAATGTCCGGGGCCGGTGGACTACCTGCCAGCAATGTTAAGTACTGCCGGGTCCCAGACGGCGAAGACGGCTACATCGACCTACAGGTGAGGCTCCGCCGGCGTTAAGGCGTGCAGAGCCCGGCAGCGGACTCCAACCCGGAGTCGCTCCTGCACCCGAATCGCGGAGGTTCATAAAATAGTCCCTAGTTACATTCAGATTTTTATTAAAACAGGTTTCCCCCTACAGCCAGGCTGTTTTACCTTTAATAGAAGGCTTTAACTTAACTGCTGGGAACGATAATGATGATTAGCCTGTTATTATTAAATCCATCTTCCACATCTGCTTATCTGGGACAGAGTCAGTCGCTTTGTGCCGACAGTGGAGCCTGCTTTGTCTAGGATTTATTAAAATAGTAGAGAGGGACTGTACCGGTCCCCTGGCTGACAGACACCAACCAGCTGAAGTTAGCGGAGACCCCGCTTTGTTCGTCGTTTTATAGTAAAGGCTCCTGTTTATGTTTGCAGTTCAAGAAGACCCCGCCCAAAGTCCCATATAAGGCGATTGCCCTGGCCGCCTTCTTGTTCCTGATTGGCTCGTTATTGATTGTAATTGGAGCCCTGCTCCTGGCTGGATACATTGAAGTCACAGTGAGTAACCAAAGCCACAGTGCCCCCTAGTGTACAAATCGACTCTGTACAGTAACCCTGCATGACACGGAGGTGAAGTCTTTTGTACTATCATTCATTCATTCATCCTCCAACCGCTTATCTTAGTAAGTGTCGCGGGTCACTGAAACAATCAGCTGCCAGCTTTAAAGGATATAATTGTGCCCCACCTCAGAGGAAGCAACTTTTAATTTACCATATTACACGTATATACACTGTATTTATCTCGCATAAATGCCGTTGAACCAACAAACCAAACATTTGTTTTGTTTGACGTGCAGGGTGATGAACAGTCTGCGTTTTGGTATGTTTGCGTTAGTGTGTTTCATTCTGCGGTTAGGTTTCTTTTTATGCGCATATGTCTGTGTGCGGCATAAGCCCTCCCCAGGGAATCCTCTCCGGCTTCCCACCATCCTTTGCCCCTAGCGGGGTCGCTCTTGTTAGGCTGAGCGCTGGTGATGGCAGTGCGCTGTGGTTGTGTCATTAATAATAGCGATGTGGGTAGCATCTTGTAGCGGTCTACGAGCGTATGTAATCCTGCTGCGATGGAGCTCAGCCACCCGCCGCCACTTTGGTCGAAGGAGCCACCAGCTGTAGGTCTGGGATATGACAATTTAAGGAACACAATGTGGGTGCCCTGAGCAGACGAAAATGCAGTGTGTGTTTGTGTGTGTGGGGGGGGGGGGGTTGCATATATTACATTTGAGGACTAAATTATCCCCAAAGTGTAGTAAAAACCTGAAATTTCCCTATTTTTGGGGACATCTTTTGAGGTCCCCATTTGGATAACTTCAGTTTTATATTAAGAAAAAAAATCTGTGAATGCAATCAAAAAAGTAAAAATGCCAAAAGTCTTAGTAGTTGGGTTGATTACTTATGGTTAAGGTTAGGGATGGGTAGAGGTTAAGGGTGTCGTGATTGGGATTAGGGTTTTTCCCATGGAAATGAATGGAAGGTCCCCATTAAGATAGGTACACCAACGTGTGTGTGTGTGTGTGTGTGTGTGTGTGTGTGTGTGTGTGTTTGTTTGTGTGTGTGTGCGTGTCCATATATACATAGCATTGCCTGTAACAGTTTTACAACAAATTTACAGTTTCAACTTTTCAAAAGTTATTTTGGTTTCCAAATTCCCATTGCAGATGAAAGGGAGGTGGATGCAAACTCCAGACAGTGCGCACTTCCAGTCCTGTTTTTATGAACTTGAACTTTACAGAATCGATATCTGACACCCTAGTATCTGCTCTCATTACGCTGAGTGCTTCCCCTTCACTCGCCTGTCGGCTCGTAAAGCAACCTGTGAGCAATCTGAAAGACAGTAATAGCTTGAATAGTATCACTACAGCTAATGGGAACAATGGAGCTAGATAGATATTTTTGGCGCGTCGTAATATGGTAACTGGTTAAAAATAAATCTACCTTACGGGCGAATGGAAGTCTATGCACTGGGAATAGGCTGAGAGGGGCCTTGTCTTATATTTCGTGAAGTAAATGGCACCAAATCTCGTAAGAAAAACGATATAAATGTATTCGAAAACGAGTGTTACGATATTAATAAGTAATGAGCATATTTTGCTGGTCTGTGGCTGATGGTTTGAATGTGTGCTGGTAGGACCTCTTAAAGGGAAGCGCACATGCTTTGAAATCCGCGGTGTCTTTCAGCTTGTTCTCGGTCTTCCTCACACATCCTTAACTCATCACCTATTTTATTGCTGGTATTGGGCATGTCTGTATTTTTGCTCTCCAAACGGTGCAGACAGCGCCGGTTAGACTGCTGTATATGCTGTGAGATCCCCCCCATCCGTAGGCATGATGAGATGACAAGACACTGCGTTAGAGTGATTTAACGACTTTCTCCAGTGGCGAGGAAGGGATGTAGTGTTTTAAGGGTAGGAAACTCTTATTGTCAATCTGAATTCAGTCCTACAGCGCCGTTTTTATATAGTATATGAGCCTTCTCAATGAGCCAACAACCCCTAAACACACAGTTATTTAAATCCGAACAGATGTCCTTCGTCTGAAGTGACACTACATCTCTGTTGGAGTCCCACGCAGAAACTGAATATAAAATTGTGCTCTCGTGTCAGACTAATTTAATTATGATTGTCAACGTTTGCATTTCACTTTTAAATCCAGAATAACCGACATTGGGAATCAGGTTTTGAATCACTGACATTGCATGTAAGGTCGCGTTTGAAACCTCCAATACCGGTTAAGCTTGGTCAAACAGAAAGTGACCCAGGCATGACGCTGATATCAGGCTGCCCTGGGGCACATGTCGCCTGTCTTTTCCAGCGTCCGCAGCGCACCGTGCCGGTCCTTATCGTCGGAGTCCTCGTCTTCCTCCCCGGCTTCTACCACCTGCGCATCGCCTGCTACGCTTCCAAGGGCTACCGCGGCTACTCCTTCGACGACATCCCGGACTTCGACCACTGAGCCAATGGCGTACGACGTGGCCCCTGCTCGTAGCCAATGGCGCACGACATGGCCTCTGCTCGTAGCCAATGGCGAAGCGAGTCGTCGCCGCATCTTCTCTGCCACCCTACAGCCCTTCGCATTTTGAGTTTATCTCCCAACCTCGCGTCGGTAGCAGACTTTATACAATCATGTGAATTTTAATGCAAAAGCGTCTTTCTTATGTTTAGCGTCTGTTGTAAAGACAATTTATCCAGCTTGTATAAAATGCTTAATTGTTTATTATAGAAAATGTACAGATCTGCATTGAAATTCTGTCTTGAGAGGGAAGCACTGATTTACGATACAGCGTATAGAGAATACTGAACTCCAGGCGTAAGAACCAATACAGATGGGCTGCTGTGTAAATTCTTCTACTGTGCATAATCTCAACTTGTTTCTTGTCGTCTTGGTGAAACCACAGAGCCGGTATTTATCCATCCACCAAAATTAGTGTTTGAGTTGACAGTGGTGGTTTCACATTCAGCACTTGGTGATAGATGTAATATAGATGTTATCTCTTTTTCGTTCTCTTGGCTATGAACATTCCCCGTTACTCCAAGAGCATCATTTTTTGGGTGTCGTAAAACAAGAGTATCCATGTAGCAATTTCCTGTTAATGCAGGTGTAATTAAATAATACATCCAACTAAGTAAATGTTTAAATTCACCTAAAATGTGCCTTGCTGCTGAAATGTAGTGTTTATTTACATTTGTATTCCACTAGTGGTAACGAATTACTATTTGTGTACGACGTTTATTACAGTAAACGTCACATGCTCCCAAAAATTAAATTAAATTTAATATTTTTATGTTAAAAAGGTGTGTTCTGTCCTGTATGACGCAAACCTAATCGCGCAGTAAATGATAATCTGAATGCTCCAGATAAATGTAGAAAATATTTATTAAAAATGATGATAATTTCTTGTGCTCGTAATTATGATGATGATGATTTGCTAGAAGACCGCTGCTAAATATGGCACCGAAGAGTAAAGTGCTTGCTATTTCTCTTAGGTCTTTACCGAAACTGGAGTCTGCAGTCATCGCCCAGTTTGGGTCTGTTGTAATACCCGAGAAACACCGGCGCGCGGCTGTAAACTCTGACACTCTGAAGAGAAATCGCACAATGTTTACATATACACATATACTAGCCTGTATGTTGCGTGAATCTTTAAGAGTCTCTCTGTGAGATGACACACAAAAGAGATTCTGAAGACAAGGGTTCATGGCTTTCCGTCAGTGGTGTACATGGAAGTCATGAATCGCTTCACTGATGCCGGGATCCCCAGTGTGGCAAAGCCAAGACGCCCTTATCGACTGGCTGCAAGGACGCCGGAGGATCTGCTGACAAAACGAGGCAGAATGAGAGGAGCCGGCGCTGATTACCACGCCCGACTGTGAAACGGGGCACTTTTATTGTCAATAACCGAGAGGGGCAGATACGTGCTTTAAAGCACAGACAGCCAGTTGTCACGTTTTTTTTAATTGTAAGAATAAATAGTATATGTGGACTGGCACATGGAGTTGTGCATTTATCACGCGAAAATGCGTGTATATGATTCCGAATATATGTAGGTTTCCAAAAATAATGGCTGAGGAGATATTCATAAAAAGTTGGTCAGGGAAATGCTGGGAGGGTTTCTATTGACATTTTACAGTAAATTCCTACTCCAGTTCCAAAACTGGAGGGAATGACATTATACTGTCTCACGTCGTTGTTGCTTCTGATTGTAATTCCCAGAGTATTTTGCGTAGAAAACATGTACTGCACAGGAATAAATTAAAAAAAGCTGTTATAAATAATTATGCAACGGAATTGGCCAACAATACAAAAACATTCAAATTAAAACAATAATAAATATCGCGTAGACAAGACATATACATTCTGATTGGATGGGGCATGCAAAATACAGTCAATGACCAAAGAATGAGGTCGGGTTAAAAAGTTATATTAAAGGCATCCATAAAGCGATGTAAGGCTGTTGCGCTTGAGGTCCATGACGTGTGAGTGTGTATGTCGGTGTGTGAGAATGTATCTGTGTGACAGAAAGTGTGTGAGTGTGAGACAGCGAGCGCGTGTGCCGCCGGTCAACAGGTAAGACCGTGATAGGAGAGCGTGACAAACCCGGACGCGTCGGAGCGAGTCGGAGCGGGTGGGTCTGTGTAAACCCGGACGGAGTCGGTTGGTCTGAATAAACCTGGAGACGGCGGAGCGGGTCAGTCTGTGTAACGCCGGGCGGAGCGGGTGAGTCTGTGTAAAGCTGGACGGAGCGGGCTGGTCTCTGTAAACCCGGACTGTGGCTTGCCGGGGAAATGCTCTGCTTATTTCGCTGCTACGCACCGGGGAAATTGAATGCGCTCCACGGCCGGGTGATGCGCGCTGCAAAGCTGTGAAGAATGGTGCGTTTCCTGGGTCTGCTTCGGATGCCGAGCTGCGGGGATTAAGCAGCCTGCGAGGTGTCACTTACACGCTCCCCATTTCTCCAGCCGGCTGCACCGCTTTGTCTTGTAAGTCATTCGCCCTCTCACACATTCACCGTTAATACTCAGCTGCTTTATTATTTTATAGCTCGTACTAAGTGAAAGTAGTTTCCGAACTATGGTATGTATCTAATACATATTACTGCACAGTTTAAATAGCCTCTGCCAGCGTACTCACAACACGGTTATTATTAAAAAACGGCGACATTAGGTGCGGCGCCGAGGTGCGTCGTTAGTAACGCGTCTCCGGGGCTGAAAATAAGTGTGATATAAGTCTGACATAAGTATGATATCTTTAGAGCTTTGTGATTGTGCTTATGAGACCTTATAATTTCTCACAGATTCCTCAGATAACCATGCCGCATAAGAGCGTATACACGCATAAAGTTAAATCACATCAGTGTTTGTAAGGAAATTAGGAAATTAAATGATTTACATTACATTCGAGAATAAGTTGTAGTCCATGATGGTGAAAGTGAATAAAAACATTTAGTTACAGGGCGAATTAAACGGAGCTCCGTCTGTCGGTTAGTAACGGCTCGTTTTCAATGTCTCATCAACGGAATAAGACGGTGGACTTCAGCTCTCTGCCACTTAGTTACGCTTCGGTGGCGCTCTATTTGTGACATTTGAATGAATGCATTTCTGACTTCGGTGAAGATACTCCTAATTAATTAGGTAAAAGAGAAGTGTGTGTGTGGCCAAAGTGTACCGTTGTAACTTATGGGAAGAGAGAACAGGCGTCGCTTATCCTTTTTAAGTTAAAAGGCGTTAGTTGTATGACTGAGTCTAGGCTTGACTGTGTAAAAGTGCTCCGCGACCCTCGCTTTCCGTCGCCATCAATATCAAATAGTTGGCTACTTTTGTTATTTTATTTCTGCCTCCCTGTTATTCACAGAGAACAAAAGTTTCTCCAGCTGTAAAACGACCTGTTGGCTCATCAATCTTGAATGCTTTCATGGTGCTGTGTCCTTTGTTCCCCTTTCAGGCATTGTAGGGTGTTTCTGTGGGAATCCGCCTCCCAAACAAGCATAAAAGGTGCACTGAAACATCGTATAGTGGCGCATTGTTAGAAAGCGGCTGAGCTCCCAGTAAAGTGGATCAGACGCTAAAGTCCACATGTTAGGAGGTCCCTGTGGTGATCGACTGCTTGTTCCTCTTACGCTACTCTCTCCAGCCTGGTTCACTGCAAGCGATAACGTGTCACCTGTCAGTATTATTATTATTATTATTATTATTATTATTATTATTATTATTATTATTATTATTACAATAACAGACGGCGTGGAGCGGTGCGTGCTGTTGAAACGCTATACTTTAAATGCAAGAGGGTCTGGAGAAATAGAAAAGCGATCTAGCCTTTAATCGTACCAGTGCCTCAGTAATGGACTTGCTCACCTGCCAGTACAACACAAGTCCTGGCTGCTGGACTAGTTTCCAGGTCCAAACACGGTCACCATCTTGAATGGAATCAACAGCTAAAGCCAAATGGATTGCTCTCTCACACACACACGCACACACACACACACACACACACATCCCAGACATCCAGAAGCCACCCTGTGAGCCATTTTTGGTCTTATTTAATTTGTACATTTGCATAAACCTGACCAGCTCACAGGACCCTTTTCTGTTTACAGGTCGTCACTTACTTTACAGTTTTGTGTTGAATTCCAGAACCAGCTAGGGATCTCAGCCCTGTGTTGTGAGATTGTATCAGTTGTGTTGTTGAATCTCTGCCAACCGACCACATATTTTTTGTTCTTGCCGATCGGTAGATGGGTATCACCTTCTTTTAGGTCTTTAAGGTCTGCTTCAGTCCTCAGGGACTCTGCCCCGCCCCAAACACCCCGAGAGCTGACCCTCAGATTTAGCACTGTCAGGCTCTGAGGTGCAGGGATGCCCAGTGAAGCAGCAGCGGCTGCACAGTAACTGTTTATTAATGAGGTCATGCCAAAAGTCAGGCTCTACCTGTAAGCTTTAGGGCATTTTAAAATAAAGAGAGCAAAACCAACAAGAATTTGTTTATTATCATAGTACCCATCTGGGAGGGGTCCCTCGCCCTCATGTTTTCCTAAGATCATTTACAACTAAGTGGGTCTTCTCTGTTATAAGGACGTTCCGAACAAACCTTTTTTTCCATCTGAGAAAATGGAGAGTATGTTCTGTGGTGGAGGCAGGGATGGTTTGCGTGGTGAATTTCTCTGGGTCTCCCTGAGACAACTTCTCCATGACTCTTTTCATTCCTTGCTTTGGCACCCAGATTTTTGGGATAAGACTTTACCTCAGTACTGACCCAGACAAAACAAGAGCCTGTGAAATTCAATGAACTTGGGTCAGGATTTCCTACAATTTCTCCATTTAAAAATGCAGCAAATTACGGTAAAGCTATTCTTCTGAAATGTGACTGATTTTCAAAATGTTCTTTGTGACCCTTCGATTATATCAACGAGCATATCAGAGAAGTTCCACAACAAATGCATTTCTGTCACCCATGACGCATGTCCAGGCCATGCCTCCGGCTCTCATACAGGGCGCTGGAGAGCAGAGGTTACAGGAGGCCCACGGTAGCATGTGGAGCTTGGTATGCAGAGCGTGTAGCCCGCACTGAGACGCTTGGCCGGTGGCGCATGCTTCAGTGAGCGATGCAGGGCCATCTCAGATTAGCAGGGACCTAGTAGAACTCACCTTAACGATGCCGGCTCACGTAACTGAGTAAACACACTGGACACGGGAAGGAATGAACACAGGCAGAAATACACGATCACGCATTAGATGGCACACACACACACACACAGCAGCTCACACACTGACATTCTAGCACCTTCCTGGTCCTCCTTTAGCTCTGGATGCAGCCTATCACTATAAAAACCCACAGAGGTATCTCTGGGAAAGGTATTAAAACCAACAAAATATCGCTACCATGTAACTGGGTTAAAGAGGCGTGTAAGCTGCTTCCAAAGCAGGAAGGGGGGTTAACCTGTGTTCTGCAGACAGAAGGATGACCAGTGGAAGAGACCACAGCGCTGCACACCTTCAGCCTCTCACAGAGAGCGTGGTGACTTCCTCTCCGCGTGACACACTCTGGCCGCAGCGCTGCACACCTTCAGCCTCTCACAGAGAGCGTGGTGACTTCCTCTCCGTGTGACACACTCTGGCTACTTGGCCTGTTTTCCCGGCTGCCATGTTCCCAGGTAACCTGAGTGGCTCTGCACCTGCCACCGCGCCCACATGTGGGGGAGGGGGTGGAGCTCACGGCTCGTGGAAAAGTCCCAGAGACTGCCACCACGTTGCCATGACGATTGTACCTTGTCCCCAGGGAGCTGGTGCGGTTCACTGCCATTTCCTGCTCTCTGTCTCTCTCTGTCTCTCCTTACACCTGTGTTTGGTGCCCTGGGGCCTTGTTGGGAATAGTTCCCAGGCCAGCTGACCCTCTCACCTTCTGATCCCCCCCCCCCACACACACACACTGCTGTCTGCCAGCATGGAAACAGAACAGAGGGGCAATTAAGTTGTGTATGGGGCAAGTTGATGAAAGTTAATAGCACAGGTAATAGAGCACTGTATGTGCAGTGTTTAGTACAGTGATATGTGTTATGCAGGTACAGGCGAGTGCAGTGTTTAGTACAGTGATATGTGTTATGCAGGTACAGGCGAGTGCAGTATTTAGTACAGTGATGTGTGTTTCAGTGCACATTTTTGGTAGATTTTTTGATGTTTTTTGTTGCTTTGCTATCTGGGACCACAATGTGTCACCAATATATTTAGTGCCACCAATATATTTAGATGTTGTGTTTGTGTCCATGGATTTTTCTGTATAAAATTCTGTGCCAGAAATACCCCCATCCTGTGGGCTGATTAACTCTGTCATAAGCTGGAATTAAGGCCGATCACTGGAGCATGTGGGGGGTGGGTGGGGGCAGGGCCGTGGATGTGCCTCGTCACGGTGACTGACAGGTCATCAGACGATCTGTAAGATGGATGGGCAGGAATGGGAGATATGAGGCAATCTTGGGCGTGGGCTTGAGCTGGCGTTAAGGTTAAGGCTATGGATGTAGCATGTAGCCTTTGGCATGAGCTCGGTGAGCACCTGAGCACTTTGCCTGCTCGTAAAAAACAAACCTTTGTCCTTGTTTTGACAGGTGAGATTTGTAGGAAGGGCCAACCTCCTCCATTTGGCAGCCGGAACACGATTGGCGGCCGTTAGGCCCTCCCTTGGTGAGCAGAGACAGACGGATGAGAGGTTGAGGGCTGCGGACATGAGAGCGGGAAGGACGTGGCTGCTCTGGCTGGCTGCGGCTGCCACACTCTACCTCCTGGGTGAGTGGAGGCCTCCTTCTGCCTCGGCTGCCACACTCTACCTCCTGGGTGAGTNGAGGCCTCCTTCTGCCTCGGCTGCCACACTCTACCTCCTGGGTGAGTCGAGGCCTCCTTCTGCCTCGGCTGCACCCCTCCTGCATCGCTACTGTAGGCAGGCTGCCATCGGGAAAATATATTTACCAGCACACAGCTGATGCTGTTTTTGTATGAAACAAGCAGCTGAGCTCTTGCTGGAGGACCAGAACATCCACTTTGGAAAGTGGAGACCTGAAAGTGGGGTGATGATCCCCATGTGCAATGCATTTACGCTCATCTATTTCCCAATTCTGTTCTCTGTTATCTCCCATGTTTGCCATTTGTTGTTCTTCTGTTTCAAACCTATTAAAGGTTTAATCAAGATGTTCTTTTAAGGGATGTTAGATGTATTCATACTAATAATTGTGGTGGCATTAGTGTTAGGGACGTGTACTTGTCATAGAAAGATTGCTGGTCTGAATCCCTCTGGTACCCTGAGCAAAGTACCACCCCCAAGCACTGCTCCCTGAGCACTGAATTAGCTGCCCCCCGTATGTCACGTGTGGATTAAATGCAGGGGACATATTTTGGGTGCTATGGTGTGTCAACAATGACGACTAATCACTTTCCCTTCCATTTGGTTCATTTGGCTCCCAGTAAAAATTACGTATCAATAATATAACAATTTTTCACCACATTTCGAATGACCTGATTTTCAGCTTCATGTCTGACTCTTGCCTGCTGTGATTTATTTATTCGATGTTCTTGTGACTGAACCCCCTCCCTCCATTCGCAGAATACACCCATGATACAGAGGCCATGGTTCATGCCAGGGTGGCTGGGGCAGCAGACCTCGCATGCAACTCTGGAGTCCCCAGTTTGACCAGTGATGCTTCCTCTGGCCGGAGCCCACCCCCTGTAGACCCCACCCCCTTGCACGTGGTGGAATGGCTCCGGCAGGGATACAATGTTCCCATACTCATCAAATTCGGGGTCCACGCACCCCGTGTGCACCCCGACTATGAGGGTAAGTCTTCACTTTCACATGCACATGCAGTCCTTTCTTATGCAGTTCAAACCTGAGCTAAACTCTCACCACTCAGTCTTATCTAATTTATACCCAATATAAACCCCACCCCAGTCTCATCTAATCCTCATCTAAACCTGAACTCAGCCTTGTTCGCTCCATCAGCTCTGTGTGAGCTGAGCTCTGGGCTCTCCCTGCTGTGGTTTCGTGTTGGGCAGAAGCTGGCCCCGTGATTGGCTGGGTAAGCGCTGATTTCTCAATAGACGTGGAGGCGATGGAGCTTCCCGAAAAGGCTGCGGGAGGGCCGAGCGCCGCGGATGCGCCGACATTCCCTGATCTGGGTTACCCAGACTGCTCTCCAGCAGCTTTCACCACCAGGCGCAGTGCTGCACAGTCTTGCATTCTGTTGCATCAGAAGTGGCGGACGCAGGGTATCGTGGGGGG